ATAATGTAATGTAATATAATATAATGTAATATAATGTAATTATAGTAATATATAGTATTTTTTATGTAGGGATCAACTATCTAAATTATATTTCCTCAAGTAGCAAAGATACAAATTAAACTGCAGGCAGACATGCTACAGATTCTTCCTTGTTTTCAACCTAGCCATAGAAAAACTAATTTTGCAGAACATCCTGCCTCCTTGAAGAACCTAGGAATGGAGCAGAAGATGCAGCTGCTCCCCCAAGAACATTACCTGACTGCAACAGCAGCACAGTAATCTGCACGTTATTGGCAGTTATAGGCGAGAATAGAAATGAGAATGGCTCAAGGAGGAGAGAGCAGAGGTAAAGCAGAAGAAGTCTGAAAGCTTAACTGCTGAAAATAAAATTTAAAAATAAACATAAAATGGGGGATTTGTTGCTTGTTTGGGTTTTTTACATTTGGTGCTGTATACTCTCTAGAGCTATTTAACTATTACTATAATATTCCTATAATTATCCTATCCACTACAGCAGAAAACTCTAAAAAACATACATTGCTCAGGAAATCATCTCCTCCTAGATTTATCCTTACTCTGCACATACATTGAAGGACCACAAATAGAAGAGTTGAAAAAACAGACATTTAATAAGATTATAAAACTACATTGGTCAGGTTACTGAAATGACATTTTATTTCTAAGAAACATGAGACGATTTTGAAAGTGAGATTTCTGAGCCTTCTGAATTATATAAAAGAATTTTCTAATCTCACAGTCCCAAAGGATGTGCAACTAAAGATTAAACTTCCTCATAATGCTGCAATAACCAAAGATCACTTTGCATATCTGGGTTATCACTTTGGAAGCCAGTGTTCTAAAAAGGACTCCTTAGACCACAGAGATACTGACGTAGATCCTGAAGTCAGAAGTTACATAAATTATTTTTAATTTATTATTTCCTTTTAGTAATTTTTAATAATGTGTATAAAAAATACAGATTTATTTATATTTAAATTACATTTTAATTTTATATTCTATCTGTATTTTTAATATATGCATGTACATTTGTATATGCCTATGCAAATGCAAGTGAAAAAGTGAAGCTGACATACAGAGGTCTTGCCTACCAATAAAAAAAAGCATTCACACAGGAACATGACAGTTTTTAAGCAGAAGACAAATAATTCTCTTTAAAAAAAGAGTATCTTAAGCTGATGCAGGGAGTTAACTCAAATACTCAGTTGCCTCTTACTACAGTCTGGAAATGGGAGTTATGCATGGAAGTATATACACACATTGGCACCAGCGAATGCGTTTTCAATGCAAAACACCTTGAATTTTGCCTCTTATACTTGTTTAAACAGTAAACCAGTATGAATTTATGCTAATGAGGCACACTTTCCAGGGACTATTGAGCTTTGTTGAATGACAGCACAGTGAAGAAGAGCCAGTATAGTGTGGCTTGTGGCACAATCTTGCAGCCCCCTGCAAACCACTCTCCCAAAATAAAGCCATATGTGAGGGACGAGGCTGTTGTGCTCTGGTGAAGGACCTGCCTATGCTGCTAACACCAGCCCATGCTAACAGAACAGCAGCACTTCTTTCAAAACTCAGTAAAGCTGCTGTTCCTTGCCCAAGCTGCTGTACAAAGAGCAATACCACCCAGGGAGGCTCCATGTATTTTAGCAGTTCCAGAAAATAAAACTGAATGCTCAAAGCATTGGCTGCAGCATTGCCTGAAGTGCTGCACTCCATATCAGCTGAGGAACGTCTGTTTGGAGGTACCACTACTGAGCTGAATTCCATAAGGAAAAGGTGGTTTCTGACCCAGGAACTCCCCAGAGCAAAGCATAGGGAGGTAACAACTAGAGAAAAGACTTGCTGAGCTGGCATGACATACCAGTACTTTTTAACTTGGAAGCAGCATCAGAAGGGCCTGTTCTTCAAGTAAGTCTGCCATTTGATTTTCTGTCTTAAATACTAAACCCCTAAATCTCACAGTATATATATTCAGAGTTGCAATATCCACGCACAACTCAGTGGCCATGGTTACTTCAGCTTTACAGGAATTTTATTTTTTTAACCTCAGTAATAAACTCTTCTCCTTAATTTACTTTTGCTTGCGATAGTCGTCCATTACAAGGCTGGTATCTGTTGTGAAATTGCTCTACAGATCTCCATTCTTCCCAAAAAGCACTCTTCTCGGCTCATTACAATTACTACCTAGATGCTTAGATGGTAGTTCCTTAGACTATGAAAAGGCTAGATATCAAAATTGAGACTGAATCACTTAGAATAGAACTCCGCATGCCTCTGCTGTACAAAATTTGGAATAGTTTCACTCTCTGAAGAAGCAAAGTACAAGGAATTAGGACAAGCCAAGACATTTTTCTTCTGATCGTCAAAATTGGGGCAGCAAGTGTGGAAACGGAGCACTGTAAACAGAAGAAGCACTCAAGAACTACAGGGCCAGGAGTACCTAACTAGAACAATCTCTGCACCTGAATACTGACATTTTCAACCAATTCTGATTCAGAAGAGATTTCACCTGAGCTCTGTCCCTGTGCCACCCCTCCTCCTGCAGCATGGGCTCTCCCCCCTCACTGCTGGGATCCAGCCCACCAGGACATGAACAGCAAAGGCGTATTTCTCCGCAGATTCCAACATTACACAAGGCTGGAGTCCCTTGATGGCTACTCCATACTCTGTTACACAGGAATATCTTCTGAAAAAAACATCAGTCTTATCCACACACTGAATGAATTGCTGAGAGAGGGGTTTGAGATGGCTTCATGAGACTTAAAGACTCCTGAAGTCCTACAACAGACTCACAGTTCTGCTGCTACAGGTACTACAGTCACTGTGAAGCTGGGCTGTTACTCTGCAAGGTTAACTACCCTGCTTCTGCCTTCTTACCTCCGTCCGACTGAAGTCCCGAGTCTGCTGACCACCTGGCAACAACTCAGAATAAGAATCAAACAGTGCACAGTCATGAATGGGCTTCAAAGAAGCTGCAGGGGAAAGAAAAATAAATAATCATAAAAAACCCTCAAATAAACCACAAACCAGAGACATGCTAACTCTTTGGTTAAAACCGGTTTCATAAAAACCTGTTCCAGCATCATTTTGTCCTTCATGTCTACATATATCAGAACTATCTTTAAGCCACAGATTACAAACACCATGAAGATCTTTCTATCTTGTGTTTTGAATAAGTCAACGTCATGAAAGGGGTAGCACATATAATTTCTGTGAAATTAGTCAGCAGCAATTCTGAGCAAACATTACCTGCAAAACAACAATTGTTTCTCTGCATTTTTCTCCTCACAGTTCAGTATCAACTTAGTTGGCCTTATGTTTTATATCCTACAGTTTATAGGATTGTTAAAGATACTTACCAAACCTTCAACTTTAATTTTTGACATTTTGAATAATGAAAAACAGCAGAATCTACTGCACAAAGGTACATTATACACTAAGATTGAAGGCCAGCAAAAAGCAAGGACACTAAACATAGTAGATCCTGAAACCTGGTCTAGTGGAACGTGTCCCTGCCCATACAGCAGGGTTGGAACTAGATGATCTTTCAGGTCCCTTCCAACCTAAACCATTCTAGGATTCTATGAATATACACCATCCTTAACTAAACAGCACTGAGAGTGGGGCAGGCAGGGAGGGGGGAAGAAAAAAAAAAATCAATTCTAATTTCTCACAGGAATATTCACAAGAACATCATTTCTATTCCACAAGATCAGGTCCTTCTGCTGATACCACTCTGGGATTAGTTCCTCTGAGATAAATCTGTCTTAAAAGCTGGAAAACAGCTTTTTTTTCAGATCAATATATTGAAAGGCAGAATAATGAATTCTTACGTCAAATTTCTAGTTTCTGGCTAGTTTATCTGAATAAACTAAGCTCTTGCAAATCTGTCATATTTACAATACAGGGGGGTTTCATACAGTGCAAATAACTTAACAGATTCCATAAATTAGTTTTAATAAAAACTTTCAGAAAAGGTGGTGGGTCAAATTGTCAATGTGCCAGGACAGCATTTGGCCACACACTTGTAGTATACAGAAAAAACCATGAAGCCAGCAGTTCACTCTTCACTGATCTGTCTTACACACCAAGTCACTTTATTTGACACTCTTATCAGATGCAAATAGTTCACTTGAACCAAATTCTGGCTCATTCTGGAACTAATGCAACACCCTAATGAAAAACAGCTTCCAGCAATCTTCACTGGGCTCGAAATAAGCAGAGAAAAAAAAACTAAACCAAACCCACAAAAACAAAACAAAACACCCAACCACCACCACCAAAAAACCACAACAAACATAAAAACAAAAAAAAACCATGAAAACACAAAAATTAAGTTTCTCTCAAAAATTTATTTTGACATTTTAGTTAAGTGTATGAGCCACTTACTGCTCACTTATCAATGCTTTTATTTCAGAAGTTGATACAACCGGGCCTCTGTGCCTTCTTCTGATTCCTGGTGTTACAGTGTGTTCAGATCTTCTGGTTTTTATTAATGCAAGACTCTGAAAAGATTGATTTCTGAATCCTGACTAGACAGCAGAATGAATGCGAGACATTTTCAGACCCTCAAGCTAATCAGAATTAGGGTATTAGCTGAGATATTTAGTGTGCCCACAAAAATAACACTAAGTCCTTTCACCTCTTACCCATAGATCAGCTTGAGATGCTTGGTTGCATGCAACACCATGGAACTATAATCATCTAAGAAAACGATAAAGACTCCAGTGCTGAAAGGGAAAAATTTGGGCAAAAGAGGATTCTCAGGGAACAACCACAGCTTACCACACTCTTCCCCTCATAGATATAACAATGTCCTACTACTAGAGATGGTTATTTCCATTACAGTTTTACCCAACAAGAATCTCCATGGAGGAGCTTACAAGCTAATTTATGATGAGAACAGGCACGAGAGTAGCGAATAAAGTGGTAGCCCTGGAGGGAAAAGGGTAGTTTTAATTATGACAAGTGAATGTAATTAGAGAGACTCAAAGTGATCAAGACTTGGAAGTGCAGGTTTTAACAGGAGCCTCTCCCTTTGGATATGAAGATAGTGGATAAGGAACATGACTCCAGCAGAAATTACTTCACAAATCTGATACAGGGTGAACATTTAATTTTCCTTACTACAGCTTGATTTGCTCTTTTCCTGTCTTTTAATATATTCAGTGTCACCAAATTTAATGGAGATTTTATTAGATCTTAAATATTATCCCTTAGCACTGTAATTATAATCTGTCATTAATCCTCCTTGCCCTAGAAAGTCATACACATATTTTAGATGGAGCAGTATATACTTCAACATTCATTTATAATTAAAAAGAGACAGAACTAAGGAGAACAAATGAAAGGGCAGGTTTCTTACTGCACATTGTTACTGAGCTATGTTGTATTTTGGATTAATTACTTCTTGGACTACACAAACTGCTGTAATCCCCCCATCATTACTGCAAATTACTTATAGAAGAATCTGTTGATTACACTAAATGAATTGCAAAAATTATTTAACCTTTGATACAACCAGTAACTCCATCTACCAAAATCAAATCATCTAGCCCCATAATCAAAGTAACAGACAAAAATACAGTGAGTGGGCATATTAAACAGAAATTTCTGGTGTAGATTGAAATTTCTGGGGAACGACTTTTTACAAGGGTTTGTAGTGAGAGGACAAGGGGCAATGGATTAAAACTGAAGGAGGGTAGATTTAGGTTAGACATTAGGAGGAAATTCTTCCGTGTGAGGGTGGTGAGACACTGGAACAGGTTGCCCAGGGCAGTCGGGGATGCCCCCATGCTGGCAGTGTTCAAGGGCAGGTTGGATGGGGCTCTGAGCAACCTGATCTACTGGGAGGTGTCCCTGTCCATGCAGGGGAGTTGGAACTAGATGATCATTAAGGTCCCTTCCAAATCAAACCATTCTATGATTCTATGAAAATGTATTAGCATAAGAAGTTGTAAAGCACTCCAGTATCATTTTCAACACACAATTGAGAGACAGATGCTTAGGGGGAGTTATCACAAGAGTTAAAAGCCATGTAAGTCTTGTTGGAAATACTTTGCTACTAATAATCATCTCACACAGTAGCTCTAATGCCACTTGAAGCACTCTTGAGCAAAGAGGTGGATGTTAAGAGGCAGGTAATAGCTACATTTTACATCACTATCTTGTGTTTTCATACATCCCCTCTTCAGCGATTGCCTCTTAAGCATGATGAAAAATGCATGCATTAAGAAGCAACCGGAGAGCCATTATGCAGCGTAGAACCCCGTCCTACTTGCAGGACGGAAAATGAAACCTGTCTCACAAGCACACTGGGTTTCTGAGGTGGCTACAGCAACGTGACCTGCCGCGGGCATGTTACCTGCTTGAAGGTACTCGGGCAGCAGCGTCTCTGGCAGCGTCTCCGGCAGCTGGTACCCGTTCTTCCTCGCCACCACGAGGTGGAAAGCAGCACAGAACTCCGGCAGCGTCAGCGCCCCATCGCAATCCACATCGCTCAGCTCCCTGCCGGCAGGACAGGCACATGTTTTCCAGGGCCTTACCTCAGGGAAACAGCCATATGCAACCACGGGGCAGACAGAAATGCAAATTTGAGAAGGGATATTTAAAAAGACAAGCACCTCTGCCATTCGCACGTGATCCTAACTTGTACACTTTGTCTCAGAGAAGATGAAGCAGGTTCATTTCCTAATGCTGAATTGTCAGGTTACTCTTTTTTACTCAAGTACATTTCTTCTTATACATCATGCCATGCAATATAATGATACATATATATTATAACATGAAATACATATCCTGTACTTCCAAGGGTGGTATTATCTTTCCAATGGTTGGAAGCACTTCTGGTCAATCCATGCAGGATCTTAAACCAGTTCAAGCAGAAAGTTAAAGATTCAGCAATGGTTACTTAGCACCATTGACTAGCCTTAAGAAAGTAACTAAACTACACGCTCTGGACAAGCTTAAATGTTACTAGCTTCTAACTAAAGTGGTTCACTCTTTAATATGCTCCTCAAACAGTAAAGCTGGACTTCAGAAATTCAAGACTAAAATTTTATAAATTAACTGCAAGAACTGAGTAATGTTTTATCATAAGCACATGGACTAAAATAAATATGTAATGTCCTAATCTTTGAAAGTAACAAGCATTTTTTAAGGTGTTGAGGTTACACTGACAAAGGCTGAAACATCCCACATGTTTAACACAGTAACACAACCTCGTAACATAATCTCAAAATTATAATTACCTATTAGAAAGGAATACTTTTCTTTAAGTTTTGCACAGAGAACATCTTGTGCCAGGAACAGAAATACAACATGTTTTGTTAACATATTGGGTTAATCTGTTCTTCTTAGGTAATTTAAATTTAAATTCCAATATTCACTTCCCCCAACGCTATGTTTCTTCAGTTGTTTTTATTTTCACAACTGCAAATCCACTTTGAAAAGATTCCAGACATATTCTTTGACCCTGACAGATGTTTAGGCTCTTCTAAGCTTTTCCTCTCATCTGTCTTCATAAAAGCATATATAAAAATAAAACCTCTATCAGCACTTCTGATCAATGTTTAAAACTGTTTGGCCTTCCTAGCTGAGATGCAAGGATGACACTGAATCACTAAGCACCATGTTGTTAGTGAAAATAATAGAATCTTTGTCAAGTTTTATCATGTGCAGTTCCATCCACAATCATTTCTAAATAAGCTCATTAAAAGGAAATGTACTGGTTCATTAGAAAAACACTGATGAATTATGCAGTTGTATTTACTAAAAATTAGGCATTAATTAGGCCTCCTCTGACAAAACACAGCCAGAAACATAAAACCAACAACACATCTAAAACATTCCAGAGGTGCTTTCTTCTGTGTCATTTCATGAAAAATGTCGGTTTGTTGAGCTAATGGCGCTGCTTACAATATACTTAATAACAGCTCCCAGTTACATCACTGTTTAAACCTTCCCAGTCCTGCTGAGTAGCTGAACATCTCTCCTGAAAACAAGCGTATCAGGAAGATTGATGAGCATGCTGCTGCTTGGGCCTGAATGTGATTCTGGAGATAAAAGCAGTAATTATAACTGAAGATACTTTTCAAAATTTCACACAAGTTCTTGAATGAAGCGTCTTTTTAAAAAATGGGATACACAGCCCCAATACTATTATGGTACTCACCAGATGTGAGAAAGCTCAGGGATGGGGAGCTTTGATTTTGTGAAGAAATTCTTTGCCACAGAACCTGTTGGGAAACCAAACCTTATCAACCATTGGAAACTAATTCTCCAATTACTTACCTCTGATCAGGGCAACCGCACCAGAAGCGGCTGGTTACTTTACGTCCAAGAGACGCTCAGATTAACTGGATGTTAATACAGCTGTTGGACCGTTTGTTGCTTGTTAAGTAAGTGACAGAGAAAGCCAGACAGAGCTGTTGACCTCATTTCCCCATTCCCTCCATATGTGACAAATAAACACAGGAAAACAGGCTTCAGTACTAGTGACTCTAACCAGTGTAATTAGTACGTCACCAGTGATGACATAACAGATGTCTATAGCTCTGTTTCACCCAGAAGCCACGTGTGTGGCAGTACAGTGCCACAGTGTCTGCACTGCTCTCCCAAGGCACTGCTTGAACCATCACTTTTCCCTGAAATGGTTCAAATATTATAAAAAAGAAAACAATTACAAACAAACAAACAAAAAACCCCACTAGATTCAGATAGCACGCAGCCACTGCCCTGCTGTGGGCATTCTCACTCACCCTGACATAAGAAACTTTCTCATTCTTCTCCTGGCTAACAAACCCATTTCTTCAACATCTAGGCTTATAAAACATATGGCAACATGAAGCACAGACTTCTAGGTCTACACTACCTCTTCCCCTTGGGCATTCAAGTCAGATAATACTGCAGTGCATAAGAAAAACTGTAACTGGGGCAGGTTAAAGACTCACCTAGCACAGCATGTCCTCTCCAGCACTGGATGCCAAGAGAGGAGTATGTAACCATGACAAACCCACATAATAATAACGTAACTCAGAATGTCCCCAAACTCTGACCACCTGTGATTCAGGAACTTTCTCAATCAGGAGTAGCAGTTAAATTCTGACAGATTCTTCAATCACAGATTCCTCAAATAATTTATTAAACCTGGAGAAACCTCTATCATCTGTATCACCCTGCAGTAAGGATTTCTACAGCTTAATTATTTTAAGATGTTGTGGAAGCTCCAATTTATAAACAGTATTTTTGGATGTGCAAGGACTGCCTGAGAATCTTGCTCAACATAAAGGAAAATGCACAACTACCTGAGAGGGTATATATGCATATATTCACGCACACACAGTTACAGACATACTTTGCTCTGTAACAAAATACAATGTTATTGAACAATCATTTTCTCCTTCAAGCAAATTTTATGAAGGAGACTTAACAGAGGCAAAGAACTGGTTTAGCACTAGTTTCTGTCAGCAACAGGCAATTTATTTAAACTTTTGGCTGGATCCAAGCCTCCTAAGCCCCAGTAACACATCAGGGCTCAGGAAAATTGCCTCAGTTTAAAGCCTGTAGTGACTTCCTCTGCAGGCCAACTGTCTGTACCTGCAGTGACTCCTCTCGTGAGCAGCTCGATCCTCCTATTCAGGATGGAAATGCAATCTAAATATGCTGTTAATAATACTTTATCATGTGTGTGCTCTCCAGGTTTTGCTTTTAATGACTTTGAAGTCCAAATCCCAGTCTTTCAGAGCCATAAACATGCATTCTTGACCACACAGGACAGTTAACTGCACCCTTCATTTTTTCACATGGATCCTGCCACATTTCTGCTGGGAAAGCAAGCACAACACTGAGGGCTTTTTCAGATCAGTATTTGCTGCAGGTGTGTTCCACAAATACAGTGGATGAAATACAGAGAGCTCATTTTAATTTTTACCAAATTGCCAACATTTCTCCTTTAGATGTAATTCTTTTTCTAAAATCAGGAAATTTAGGAAAGAACATAAGGGCCACAGTATTGGTTTGCTTTTTGAGTTGTCTGCCTTTAGAAAGAAAACTCAATCAACTCTTCCTCACTCCAGAGAGAAAAAAAAATCATTTATCTGCTTAACACGTCTCACCCCTCAGCCTGGTCCCTTTACTCAACACACACAATGTTTAGTAAAAATTACCTGAAATAAAGGAGTTCAGGTCAGGCTGCAGGGACCTGAACTGGTTGATGTAGTAGTCTCGTTGCTCCTCTGTTATCCTCCAAGGGTCATCTGAGTAGTGGGTGCTGCTGTCCTGCTGCTCCCGCTCTGCTGAAAGAGACTGAAGGGAGGAACACTGACTTCAGTTGCAAGCAGGGGAGCAGAAAGGCACTGGGAACCTCAAGAAATCAGATTCTTATATTAGCAGGCATTTTAAAACTATGAGAAGCAGAAATGGCCACACTGATTATTGCCTCACTACTCATCTATTAATGCTGAGGCTAACATTAGGTATCTTTACCCAGGCAATTAAGGGAAGTTTTATATAACCAAAGCTAAAAGAAAAAGGAAATCTTACTAGTGCTGACCACAAAAATGAAACTCCAAGACATATTTTATTACATCTGCATTCATTTTGGGGGTTCATTTTGACTGCCATGCATTACAACCCTGAACCACACACTGTCTACCTGAAAAAGACAGAATCAGTGAAGGTCCTAAAGCTGTATTTATGCAGCATGGTGCATGAAGATTTAGCTTTGCTAAGGAACTATGTACTTATTCTTAAGAGTGGTGCTGTAACTAGAGCTATACTGCTTCTGGACTCTCTGTCACTCAGGTAACTTGGCACATACTATGCCAAGCCAGGGAGATATGTGAAATCCTAGAGACCTCAACCTTCTGTCACTTTCCACAGTTTAGGTAAAAATCCTACCTTGGGAAAAATAATACCCTGGAGGAGAAGGACGTTTAATTCATTTGTGTCTTTGCTTTCCAATTTACTTTTTTAAAGGGATGTCTGTATGTTTAGTAGGTTGGGTGGTGGTGTTTAGAAGAGGGCTGCTGGTACAATTAGTGTCTTTGTTAAACTGGAACGACAGTATTTCAAGATGCTTTAGGCCTGGAGGACAACACTTTTAAATAGAGAAGGCAAGCATGAACAATAACCAGGCTCCAACTGGCTCCACAACAGCCCTTTCTTTGTCATACCTGTCCATTTCCTAAGAATCAAACACAAAACACTTGTTCTGAAATACATCAAAAGATCCTCGAAACAGGCAACATCATAAAGCTGTAAATTAATTTTCATTTCAAAGAGCTGTACAAATGCACCCCATTTCATTTCAAGTCAGCACAAATTATGTGACTACATGTAAATCTTTTCCTGAGGCTCAGGTGACATTTCATTATGAGCATAGGGTGCTAAGCACTAAGGGAAAAGGTACAGAGTTTTACTTGTTTAGGAAAAAAGCTCTCCCTTAGGAGAGCTTTGTCCTTCCTTGAGGCAAACTACCTGTTTGCATAATAAATGCACAGCAGGCACACTGGAACATCAGAAAAATTCACTTTTGCAACCATCAGGAAAATATAGGACCCACCTCATCAAAGCAAACGCCCAGAAATTAATTTATTCTGTTTGAGATGTGATTTAAGCAAGTGGGGTGAAAAAACAGAGTATGAAGAATATTAGACCATAAATTCCGTGCATGTGTTACAGACAACACACTAAATCAAGCAGGAATCTCTGTAAAACCTCATCTGTTTTAAATTATTTCATTTTTGCTAGGATAACTTTTTTTTAATTATTATTTATTTTTATTATTGAACTGAGGATTCTCATTCTAGTTTTCCTATCTATACTATTTGGTGCTTCTCATTCTACTTAGCTTCAGTAATTTAATTAACTGGATTATTTATTTTATTTTCTCCTTCCTACCAGCTTTTTTATTACTTTTTCATGTACTAGAAGAGCACACTTCAGCCTCTAGTCTAAAAACATCTTATAGAACACTTTTTACTTTGGAAGTGAGAATTTCCTGCCTCTTTTTGGTTTTTTTCCTATTGTTCTATTAGCAGCACTACCAAAGAAAAATCTACAATTCATTACCCGATTAAGAATTGAACAGGTGACTGCAGGTTTGGCTCCATAATTCCCTGATGATTGTCCATCTTGCTGGTGAGTAGAATGTCTGACTTCATAAGGAGCTAGAGACATTTAAAATAAAGTATATAAATGAAAGGATAATCAGAAAGATTCTACTAGGCTAAAGGAAATAATTAAATACCTCAAGGTCAAGACTCCAGCTTATGAACCTAATATCACAGTTGCAAAGTTCATTCTGACAAGTATCTACCAAGAGAGCATAGTATCATTGTATCAAAGTCCATTTCGCCTCCTGCAACAAAATTCTAGCTACATACTTGTCTTTCACATTACATCATTCTTCTTCAGACATTACTACCAGAAACAATTATATATTACTAGATCACAGACATCATTGTTCTTAACATTCAATTATATATTTATGTAGCCTGCTCGCGTATTTATACATTTTATATACTTATATCCATATATAGCAAAAGAATGCACTACAAGCAAGAAGAAATAATTCAACTGAGCTGCAAAAAATATGCTTTGACAATGCAATCAAGCAGTAAAACACTGACTTTTCATATACTCTTCTTCCCCTTTCCCTAATTTCTGTTCAAAGTCAAAATACATGACTCAACGCATTGCATTATTTGGAGTAAAGTTAGTAAAGAAAAGTAACAATTACTTCTTTTGCTAAAGTAAGTCATTTACAGTTCACTGCAGCAAATATAGTAAGTGGTGACATAACAGTACATTTAAGAACAATGTTTTAAAAATAGGTCAAGTACGCAAACACAAAGGCAACTCACTTGCAAAACCTTGCAGAGCTGAGAACTTCTGCTGCCAGCCTATTTAAAATGTACCAATTCAAAGACAGTCTGCATTAGATAGACAGAACTTAAAAGAGCCCTCATGAAAAGTGAGACCAAAAAAATCTTCCACAGGAAGACCTTAAAAATTCCACTCCTAACCCACTCACTTTCCTAAGTGGTCTTATCCTCTGTTGATATCTATTTTTGTTCCTGTATAAGTAACTTCTAATTTCAGAAAAAAAAAAAAAAGAAAAAAAAACAAAACAGGAAGTTGGGAAACACAGAGGCACCCTTGGAGAAGAGATTTAGGCCCAAGGCCACACTGTTGTGTGTTAACTAGCTAGAAAAACTTCCTAAACTACCAACAAAAAAAGGAGAATATTAGTCATGGTTGCAGTGTGAAGGGCTTCCCCTGAAGACAGACTGTCCAGTTTTGGGGTCAGATGTGCAATACAGACCAGCTCACCCAGCCCTGCACTGGGGCACTGACACCTCCCATGGGTGTGCTAACATGGTGGTTTCAGAGTCACCCTTACAAGTGCTCTTCAGAAAACTAGAAGGGTCCTAATCTTAAAGGCCAGGAAGAGCCAGTGGGTCACCTAGCCTGGCACTTGGTACAGCACAGGCCATAAAATGTTACCTGCTTGCTGCCACTGAGAACACATTTGGCTGATGTGTCTCCAATGGGATTAAAATAGGAGAGATTCCTTTTCTGGAAAAAAGGAGAAATTCCCTTTCTAAAAAACAACAATAGTGTTCTAAACCTCTAGGTTTTTATCACCGTAAGTGATGGAATAATTTTAGAAGTTGACAGCTGGATTGGATGCTACTGTCTCTACTGACTTTGCATGGCTGCTGGCCCCATGAGAAATTTCACTAAGTTACAACTGCAGCCAAATTCAGAAAACAAAAAAAACCCAGCATCCAAAATATCCCCCATAGCACTGAGATTAGGGGCAGAGTGCAAGACAGGTGACACAGTCAGCTGTCCCAGTGGCTGCCTCCTGCCAGGCCCTTCAGGGTGTGGGCTATTTGGCACTTGTCTCCTTCAGTGGAGCAGAGGTGTGTTCTCTAAACAAACAGCAGTTAACCTAACCAATGAATGGCTGTGACTCAGCACAGGTAGGATTTTCATGTGAAGGCTACTTGATAGTGTTGAATACACTTGTTGTGGCTGCAGGGAGTTTCCACATGCTGCAATAGCTCTGCTTTTTGACTCACTTGTAAACGAGGTCAATAGGTAAAGGACTAGCATCCTCCACGCCTCAGTCACTGCAGATTCACTAATTGAAAGCAGGAGAGATGCTACACCAATGCCTACTACTGCCACCATTTTGGTGACCAGATGTTGCCATCAGGAGAGCACAGGTGCCTTACTATAAACAGAAGTTTCTAAAGCCTTCGTAGAGCTGCCTTCTGCCCCACTCCCCTCTTACTAAAATCAGCATGTTTTGCCACCTACTGTAACGGCAGTGAGATCGAGGACAGCGCATCAGTCAATGTAATGCCTTATTTCTGTTTGTTTTGCCTAAGGCACATTGTGGGACTGTTTTTATATTCATGTCCTACTGTTACTTCCTTTACAAAACCAGAGAGATTATTATCCTTTCCTGCAAAGGAACATTCACAGCCAATCTGAAAACTAATACAGCAGCTGCTTAAATCAGGAGTGGGTTTTTCTTCCCCTCTAATGAAACAAAAAATTTCATGCGCTAATGACAATACTCACAAACACTGTCACTAGGATATGTTGCACAAGGTCTTGTCAGAGATTAGGTATTAGCATTTATTTGATAACAGTGACACATAAATCTAACTAATTTACCAGAAAATGAACAGGATTGAATTATCAAAACAAAATTAGATGACTGAATCATTTTCCAATATACAAGTCTAATTAAATGTTAAAAACACTTGTCAGGTGAAATTTGGATGCTTCCAACAAGGAAAAAAAAAAAGGAAGAACTGAATACAATGTGTACATCCCAATTTTTATCCTACCTCCATGCTGCTGCTCTGGCCCGCTTCTTGATTTACCATATCCATAACTTAAGGGTATTCTCTGGTACGTAGATGGAGAAGCAGGAGGTGAGCAGATTGGAGACATTGATGGAGACTTGGGTTCCTATTTCAAAAACACAACAACACAAAAGGGAATTCTGAGATGACAGCTGAACAACCAAACAATCCTGCATGGGAATCTGAGTCTGTAGAGCACGATGGACTGAGATAAAGCAAATGCCGTAGTTCCCTGACACCCTTTGTTTTCCAAGAAAAGGCTCCTTAAGAAAACAAAATTGGTAAAGACAGAGTTTGGTCTTGAGCCTTCTCAGGGCAAACCATGACAATGCCATAGCAAAGCTCTACAATGAACAGCTGAAGGTACTTCACTTCCAAAAGATACCTGAGAATTTTATGTAGAATGCTTAATGTGAGTGGGTATCTTTGAATTTACTTAACAGATTTAGTTAAGGTGAGTGCATTCTTTGTGGGAGAGCATTTTTCGTAACACTTAAAAAAATTAAAATAACCTCCAAATTGGTATCTTAAGCACTCTGTGGATTTTTAAGTGTTACTGGGTATCCATTCTGCAGCATTCTTTTAAACTTAATTTACAAATTGTTTAAGAAGACTATGTGATCCTGAAACAGTTTACTGCATAAAGAGAAAAATATAACACAGCACAGATAACCTAGATGGAGCCACGGGTTTGAGAGAACCATTTTGCTTCAGTGTCAGTACACACAGGCAGAGAGGCTCTTCCTCCTAATCCTGTTATTCCACCCGTGTATCTTGTCATCAGCTCACTCCTGTTGGCTGACCTCAGGCTGGGAATGCCATTACTCACAGCGACACACAGTGTGATAAATGTGTGCACGTTACACAAGGATAAGGAGCTTGCCACCAGGCATTGACAACATCACCTGATATGGTACCAGAAGAGAAGGTGTCAGGCCTGGGGAAAATTATGTAAATCAAGCTTGTGCCATGACACCACTTGTACTTGAATAAGCACTCTCAGCTCTCCTAAATACAGGTAATTCAGATCTCACTTAGACAGCTTTATTAAACTGGCAACTCAGAAAAACAGATACTGGGATGATGTTTCACTGAGGACAAAAGAAAAGTAGATTTTTTCTGAACTACTCCCGGAGGAGATTAGAATGGAAGAAAACCTGGTGGTCTTATCCCACCCAGAAACAGCGACTTGTGACTCAACACCTCTTCTCCAGCTGAATATTTCTGCAGTGACTCAGCATCATACTGGTGATGAGAAACTGCCTGCTTTCCTGTTCTGTTCCACAGATAGATTTCTATTTGCTCCTCCTTCCCTGGTCCTCTCCAAGAAACAGTACTGGACTAAGTAGCAGGACAACACTGAAATAACTTATACAGAATATTACAGGGCTTACAGCTTTATAAAAGCTTATACAGAGAATTCCCTTCAGAGATGCAAGTAGGATGCATCAAAATCAGAGCACAGCCCCCATGGGGATTATTTGCACATCAGGAGTTCACTTCTTGTGTAGTACTGCAAAACTGAGTGAGTCCACATGAGTGCAATCATTTACATGACCGGACCCAAAAGGAGGATGCATAATGACATATTGGTCTGAAGGAGACAAGCCTGTTACCTGTTTGTCCCCTTCATCTGTTCTTTTGTAGGAATTTTTTTCCAAAGTTGCATGTGGAACCTGAAATTTAACTCCATGGGGTTCTGCTGGAGTCCCATAACGTACTTCACTGTCATTTTTCAGCGCAACAAACCGCGGCAGAGGCAATTCTTCATTAAAAGAGAGAAAAATTCAATTGAGACTACAGAACAGTTAACATACTTTAAGTAGTATCATCTTGTAAAACCAGTGAAAAGTTTATCTATAAGAGAGTGCTATTTATACTTTGTAACGTTTATGTGTGGAACTCCTGTGCTTATTTTATGTCTTAATAAAAATGTGAACGTTACACAAAGCTACTTTCAGTAGCTTAACATATAATCTCTCCATGCAAAAAGAAAGAAATAAGCCTTGTGCACGTTACTAAAGCAAGTGGCAAACTCATTTCCTGCCTTGAAAACGTTGTCTGTAATGGAAAGGATAGTTTCCCACAGGAACTGTGGGACTGATGAATTAATCAGTCAAGACTACAGTGTCCCCGAAGCTGCCATCATAAAAGGAACAAATTAAAAATGGTAGGGTTCAGAGATCATGCCAAGGCCTTATAAGTCGAACAAGTCAAAGGGTCCCATCTCTTCTCTGCAGAGCAAAATAATGACATTTTGTCACTCTTTAAGATGACTCACAACTATTTTGAAGAAAAAACATTTATTTTTGTGCACAGTCACCCTGAAAATCAATACAATTAAAATTAAGAGAACAGTCAAAACTGAGCAAAGCCATACATCACCTCTGTAACTATTTACACCTACAGCTACTACCAGGAAGAGAAAGAAATCAACTGGAGTTTGGTGCATGCTACTGACCCCACTCTAAAGGCATTCATACATTTCAAGAGAAAATGTAATTAGCAATGGAAGCCTTTCAGTAACACTAAGTAAGCGGGATATCAATACAAGGATTGCAAGTTCCCTTCTTCACTCAAATTTGTGGATTATTTGCAGATGCTGAACTTGTAAAACAGACACAATAAATCTCACTTAGTTCAGGTTTCTAATTTAGTTTGTTGGGTTTTGTTCTTGTTTTTGTTTTGGGTTTTTTTCTAATTAACATCCTTAGAAAGGACAGCAATGCCAGGGAGAGCGCACAAGCTGTCAGTAAGGAACACTGTCAGACAATCCAGGCTGCTACACTTCACCCCTAATTTAAACTCCCTTGCCAGCAAGGCACCAAACCAAACCATCCAGCTGCATCCGACCCCCTCCACTTGGGCGGGAGCTTTGCACTGCAGGAGCTCAACTCACACAGGTCTGCATGTGCTAGATAGCCCAGCTTCCGACCCCAGGATAGGGCAGATCTGGGAACCCTCCTCCCCCAGTACCTTGTAACACAGGTGAATTTTATGTTTTGTTGCCCTTAGCAGGGACAGCAGAGCAGAAACTGCCCTGGGAGCAGTGGCCCAATTGCGAGGCTATAGCTAAGTCCTGCCTTTTCTACTTCCTCTCCTCTCCAATCTCACGGTGGATTGTGCCACTGCCTCCAGTGGGATGGTGGCAAGCACTCTTGCCCAGAGCATGGCCTCATGGCATGGTTCAAAAGCCTGCGTGAGACATGGGAGCTAAGGGCTCAAACCTGTTCAGGCTCAAAAAAAGCGACGAGTTGTGAAGCCTGAGACCTGCTGAGTCAAAGCCTGCATCACCAAGGTAAGAACATCAAGTTCCTTCCATTTAGTTGCTATCAAGGTTACACAGCTAAAAAGGAGCTGCTTTCTCTCTTCACTGCTCCAGTTTGAGAAGCACCCTTTAAGAAGTATTTTTCTCTATCAAAAGTGGCACATTTAATATTACTGTCAATTCACTGGGAAGAATAGATCCATTTTAAATTACATCTAATACATGTTTTCATGCCTACTGATAGGAAGCATTATGATTTTGTCACCACTACCCATTTATTCTACCAGGTTTACTTGCTCATATAGATGAGCACGGCAAGCTCCCTTGCACAGGGGGGGACCCCTCACCTGTCCATGCCCCCTGCAACACACCTCCACCCAAAGTGGCTGTCAGCTCCCACTCTGCACAGCTGTCAAGATTAGAGGCTACAGGAGAGACAGGAATGCATCCCTAGCACCGATCAACTGTCATTTATGCCATTCTTTTGGTAATATCTCTTCCAGATGGGAATGTCATCTCAGCTTTGCCATACATGTAATTCCTTGCAATTTTCTCCCATCTACTTGGAGAATGTAACATTACCATCTTACTTTCTCTCTCTGCTCCTCAAAATACAATTGTCTCACAGACACATTAGAAGAAAAGTTTACCACCATGGAGAGATGCCAAGCATTAAAAGAAGCAAGAAGCAAGCGCACAGCTCTGCAAGATAGATTTGCTACTTACCATTCTTAATGCTCTCAATCCGTACTGGGAGCCCTGACTGTGCTGCTGCAATTAACTTCAAAGCAATATAAAACTGAGCAGGACCAAAATAACCCACACGCTTGGCTCCACAAACTTCTGTAATCTAAGAGAAAAGAGACACAGTCTTGGTCAAATTGTTGGTCACTCTTCAAGGGAGCGTAAACACCTCTACATAAACAAAGAAATATTATTTTTTTAAAGTAAAAAGTGTGTTGTGTTTAAAGGTTTTCATACTAGCTAAGATTTTAATAGTATGTGAAATGATAACTTAAATGTATTTTCCAGTAAAATATTTCCAACACAGAAGCTGTGGTATTCACAGAAAATTGCACTTTGTATTAGCCCTTACAATAACAGTTCAGACAATTACTGCAACTGGACTATAAACACAAGAAGGACCCTATTGCTCTGCTTGAGCCCAACACTTGTGAAAATTAACATGGTCTCAGCACTGAAACTTAATTTCTATATATACTTCACTGTTTGCTTCATTCACCCACCTCTTTGAAGCAAGCAGCTCCACATTCGCACACTCAGACAACAGCTAAACAAACAACAGCTATCAGCAGGTTTAAAGCACAGGCAATAACTCTGCCACATAAGAGCTCCCAGATGTTCACAAATAAACCTCAGCCAGCCACTGAGGTTAGAACAAAGCCCCATACCCGCCAGACAAAAAGCTTTGAATTGTTTTCCTGTAAATGCACCCTGATTGGCAACCTCTCCTGGCTGGTGAGGAACACTGCCCCAGAGTAGGATGACAGAAAAGCTGTGCCAATTCTTCATGGCTAAGTGCTGTTCTCCAGAGAACCCCATCTATGGATCACTCCCAAAACATAACAGCATGACAGAAACTATTCCCATGTCATGTGTATAAGCAGATAGCACAAATTATTAGTCTATTTTTTCCAATTTATTTTTATATGGGCATACATACACACAGTGTCAAAACGTCATGTGAAACAATTATGGAAAAAAAATGTTTGAATAGTAATTCTTATTAATCAAAGAAAATTATCATAAAGTGAACTCTTTCTTCTCTGGATGTGGCTTCTGCTTTGACTGATTGAGCTCTGGCTTCCTTCTCTTCTTGCATGTTTTGGACATGCATGGCTTAATTGTTTGATCACAGGATGTATCAGGCAGCTTTCTTTTCTCTTGCTGCATGATGAAAAAGGATATTGATTGTCTTTACAAGATCAGCTTCAATAAACCAGCAGCATTTGCTATTCCTTCTTTTTCTCAAGTCACTTTTTTTTTTATCCCCCCCTTCTTTGATTTTTCTGGTGGGAACACAGGGCACTTGGATCTGCCCAAGATGGATGGTGCTGAATGTCGAGGCATGATTAAAAATAGGAGTGTTCCTTGAAGGGAGGAACAGATTGAGAGGAACTCCTTGGAGAAGAGCTGTGTCTGGCTCAGGGTGCAGAGAGAAGCCAAACACATCGCATCCACCTTGGTGGATGGCACTATGCAGACCCCAGTGCTGCAGAAGGTTCCCCACTGCCCTAGGGAGCAACACTGTCTACTGGGGGGACCTGCTACAGCAGTGGGTGCCCCAACAGCAGCCCACTGGGGTCCTGTGGCAGGAGCTGCCAGCACAGGTGGGTGCCCACTGTGCTGCAGGAACAGCACCTCCCTGCCTGCCCGCGGTGTGGGCATCACAGTACCTGCATCAGTACCATTTCTGAACTCCAAAACAGGCACTGGCTTGCTCCTCCTCATCCCTGGAAGCTCCTATTCTCTCATCCTGCTGCCCACACCTCCCACTCCTGCACATTCCTTCCTCACCAGTGGCCCTGACTCTGACTGACACAGCAGCACGGGGCACAGCCCAACAGGTCTGACCCACACACCAGGGCTGTGGCCCTGCTGGCTCCCCACAACTCCAATAACTGGGAGACAAGCAGATGGAGAAGGAGCACAACCAAGCTGAAACTCAATCTGGGTAAACAGGCCTGGTTTGTTACGGGAGAGGTTTGTTAAACAAAAGACCAACACTGAGGAAGGCAGTTTGCAAAAGCTGGACATCCACCTGCACCCAGGCTCTCCTGCGGGGGGTGTAGTTGCTCACCTCTTGCATGACACACAGATGGTGCCTGGGAGAGCAGCTGCTGCAGCAAAAAAATCATAGAACTACGGAATAGTTTGGGTTGGAGGGGACCTTAAAGATTATCTAGTTCAAACTGCCCTGCCATGGGCAGAGACACCCTCCACCAGACCAGGCTGCTCAAAGCCCCATCCTACCTGGCCTCAAACACTGCCAGGGATGGGGCATCCACAACTTCCCTGGGCAACCTGGGCCAGGGTCTGACCACCCTCACAGTGAAGAATTCCTTCCTAATGTCTAACCTCAATCTACCTTCTTTCAATGGCCCACAAAATCCCTGGGTGTACAAGGAAGTGTATCCTAGCAGCATTTTTCTCCTAGCAGCGTTTTTCTCCTCGTGGGCTCCTGTCCTACTACAGCATCCTACACTTGCTGGCACAGAGGACTGGCATTACTGTGACTGGCATTTCCTCTTGCTAGCTGCTAGAAAGAAGAAACACTGAGCAACTGGGACATTATTACATAGAAATTTGTGAGGCTATCAACTTCCTGAAAAGATACTGAGAGTTAAATTTTCCGTATCTTTTTCCATTGTCACTTTGAAACGCTCACATCATTGAATGCTGTAAATGCTCTGCTTGCTCCTGATAAGGAAACGTGAACATTTTATTCTGATCAAGCAGACTAAGGATACACTGTCTCTCACAAATACGGTGTTATTTCTCAAGCACTCTTACAGACAACCAACCTGAAACTGCCACTCCGTAGTTTTGCTCTTCAGGGTAGTAACAGATACATATCTTGCAGGCACAAGCTCCTCTGTGTTATTTGTGCAACTAATTCCCAACCTCTTTGTTAACAGCAAAAGATGCAAGCTGACAGATCAGCCAAATTTACTACACAATTAATTGCAGGTATTTATACAGACTAATTGCAGTTACAGTCACCTTCTCTCACCAGGTTCTTCATACAGTTAAAGGAGAAGGTCTTGGGCTCCTTCCAGACAGCATTTCCTACTACCTCCACCAAGACTCTGCTTAGAGCTGCTAGTGGGAGCAGCCTCACCTTCCAGCAACCAGAGCTAGGTGGCAGATTAGCTTTTATCCAAATTAATTCCTCAGAACATGCTGCCTGGTCACATTTGCACAGCAGCTTAAACTGAATACTGCACTGTTTTTTTGTTTCCTGGTTTTACCTTTTGCAGGGTCACTGCACACAGGCCCTTGATGGGCAGATTATGTTTAGAGATAAGCAATACTGAAATCAAGCTCGTTTGTGCAATACACTGTTAAGAGTCTCCAAGATCCATCCGGATTAAAGGCATTGCATATCAATGAGATATAGTATTTTTTCAAGCTGAAACTTGACTCCCTAACAATATAGGGAGCACTTTGGAACAAGATATATGAAAATATCCTCTGATACACAGGTGAAGCATCAGTTCTGCTTTCATTTGCCTGGTATTTGAAAAGAGATTATTTCTATCCTTTCCTGTTGCCAGTTTGGGGTGCATACTTTTCAGCAAGTTAGCAAGGAAAGAACTGCCACTTTCTATTCATGTACTGCTAAACAGATACACGTAGAGCAAAACAACTTGTATACTTTCATACCTCAAAGGATTTCAATCTGTAACTTTTGACAGTCAATTTTTATTGCTGCTTTTTCTTTTTTTTTTAATTATTCAGCAGAAAACTGTAATCCTCCAGGGACAAATGAATACTGAAGAAAATTTTAACGAAGAACATGTTGGAAATAATTTTTCATGGTAGCAGGTTACAGATGTTGCTTGCCAAATCTAACCTCAAGACGATAAACAGAATTAGTCAAACATCGATCCATTCAATGGTTTGTGAGGCAAGAACAGAACGTTGAGTGGACTAAAACTGAGTTTAAACTTACCACAAGGTGTAACTGCTTACATAAAACAATTTCACGGGTCATCTGACAATTAAGGAAAAAAGTTCATTTCACACAACATATGAAAACATTTCTTGGACAAGAATGGAAAGATTTAATGTCTAATCTCGTGGTTGTTCTCAGTTGGTTCTGGAACAGCATCTCTCAGTTCAATGGAATTTCAGCAGGTAGCCTTAAAACACACGTTCAGTACACAAACTGCACAACCTTTCCTGTCAATCATCCATAACAAGGGGAGAAAGAACAAGATCTAGATACCTGCACACCCTTCTGACAGACCAGAAGATGTTCTATGGTTGTGAATTTATTTTTTGTAAAGGCATCTCCAACTCATCATTAAAATTTTAAATATAGCTCCAAGCTGTTTTGAGGAGGGGCTGCTTAAAATTACTGTTCACCATGCAAACTTCTAACAGAGAAGTTTTACATCTTGAGATACTGGAACACAAAGCAGATTTTTGTATTTATTATCCACTCACTGCTCTGCTCTATCGACTGACAGTGAGTGTTATTTTTGTAATTGCTCCTTGAAGACATCCCACATGAAACAGCTTTTCCCAGCACACTCTGACATTGTTCCAGCTCTCTCCAGATCTCTCCAAACAAGCTTCCACTGCAAGTGTCCAAGAGCACTGACCTCTCAAACACGCTGGGCAGGTCTACTTTAGATTACAAAAGCTACACTTCAGGAACTGAACATGAGGCTATAGCTTAAGTTTGTTTTCTGTAAGTAAAAAAAGAGGTAAAACCAGAAACAACTATTCCATAATCCTATGTAAGGCTGAGAAGACCACCCTGCAACCTCAAGGGAAATGTTTTCAGCTGAAAGGCAAAGGTAGAGACAGGATTTTTACTGTTTTTTTAACACTGCTACAGCATCCTCTGTACCTAGCTGGCACACAGCTTTTGTCCATTCTGCCACATAGATGGTCACTGCCTGTCATTTGTGGGAAAACACAGCTCAAAGGTGCTTATATATTTGTGTGGGTTGTGAGACTCTGCAAAGAACATGTGTAAGCTGAAGGCATATTCAAATCATTCAGAAAGAAAAATATCAGCATCACTGGCTCCTACATTAAAGGACATTTTATCACTGCACCTTCCATCTCAGCCCAACCCCAGAAAGCACATTTTTT